CGTCCTTGCTTTCCCTTTCTCCCCAGCTGGGTCACCTGGGTCGCTAGCTCAGTGCGTTTCTGTCATTGGGATGCCAGCAGCAGCCTTGGAGACGCGAGCCCGGGGAGGCGGGGGCTACCTATGGGATTGAGCATTACGTCATCCCTTCTAGACCCAAATTTATCTCAGCAGCAGGCAGCCCCGCAGCTCCCAGCCGCCGCCGACTTGAGAGCTTGCGTGGAGTTAGACAGGGCTGACTCACTGGGCAAAGCAAAGGTTCGCTGCTGCTCTTCATGTTTCAGGGCCTGGGGGAAGTTGAGGGGAGGAGGCTGTGCTCCGTGTTTTGGGGTGCGAGGTATAGATAACGGTCATGATTCTCATTTTACATCTCAATCTCCCCCACCCCTTACCTTGAATATTTGAAAACCTGCATCTTCAAAGAGAACTGCAGAAAAGACTGCCAAGACGGTGGTCATCACTTTGCAGGGTAAGGGAAGTTCTCCTAAGCCCCTGCTCTCTTTCCCCTCTGCAGAAAGCATGAAATCTGCCAGCCTCATTGCTGTGAATGTTAGGAACGATTCACCTGAAATTAGCATGTACGAAACAGTGCAGGAAGGCTGAGGATGGACTCAGCGGACAGCGCTTGTCTATCACGTGAGAGACCCTGGGTCCCAGCCCAGCACCACACCGGAGTACACTGTGTCGGGAAGAGTCCTAGAAATGGAGAGCTTTGCCTGCCCTGGAAAAGGCAGACTGTCCCCAACAGGATGTGACTGCGACAGGGCTGGGGGACTTTTTCCATTTTCCAGGGCAGGTAGGAGGGGGAGACACTGCCTGGTGAGGCAAGGGAGAGCACAGACAATAGACTATGAACAAGGCTCCAGGTCCTTTTTTCAGTGGGCTTCGGAATCCTGGCTTTTCCCTGCCATCTACATTTGTGGCGGAAACAATTCATCTGAGCCTCTGGGTTCCCTCAGGCTGAGGGTTGTGGTAGGGGACGGCCTGTGGGTGACACCACTCTCCTGAGGATAAAGCCCTATGCGTTGTACTGTGGGAGGCCCTGGGGGCTTGTGACCAAGCAAGGACTTCAGGAGGGAGCCAGAGCGACCAGAAGGAACGCTTCTAGAAAAGATGGAGCTTTTTGTACATAAAGTGGCCCTTAACATTACCGTCTACCCGGTACCTGTACCAGCCGTCACCTCTACCTCTCTTCTTCTCATGTGTAGGTAACCTCTGGTTGACTCTTATACTACTTTTTACCTCCACATCTGCCTATTGGCCTTGGCTCTAAAAGGGCCAGCTTGGTCACCTACAAGTCAATGGTGAGAGGCCAGATACAGGCCTCACACATCTGTCTGGCACCTTACTAACCTGCTTTGGTTCTCTATCTATGGAATTCTTTTTTTTCCTTTCTTCCGGTACCAGGGATTGAACTTACGACCACCTGCTTGCAAGGCAGGTGCTTATGGCACTGAGCTAAATCCCCAGCTCTCTATCTATGGAATTAAATCCATCTTGAATTCATGTGTATTTTCAGTTGTACTACTTTTCTTGATTGCATATCACTTAGGTTTACTTACTGTGGGGTAAAAGAGACTTTTATTTTCACAAAAACCATCTCTTAAATTCCTGGGGTAGTCCCTGGCAATTAAGAATCTAAAATTTAAAAGGGTTCTGTAAGTGGTAGAAACTTTCAACCTAATGATTTCTACTTGCAGTAGCAGATGTTCTGAGTGAGTGGTATTTTCTTTTAAATAATTTCTTCCCCTCCTTACCCAACATGTTCCGTACTGAAGATGGAAGGTGGTTGGTACCGACGCCCAATGGGAAAGCCCAGAACTGAAATGACCTAGCCAACAGCTGAAAAAGCAGTTCCTTTTTCAAAGCATTAAAAAAAAAAAAAAAAAAAGTCTCCTGTGGCTTGTGAATACCTTTCATTTCGGGTCTCCCTGAATTTGATGGAACATCTATTTCTTAAATGTTGTGCCAAGTGTAATATTTGAAAGAGCTGGCAGAATTTTCCAACTTGTGACCTCACTGGAGATCTTGTTCACTTTGGACAAAAAGAAAAGTACAAGGGAGAGGGTGTTAAAAGGCAACATGAAACTCATAAGCTTCTTGAGAGGGTAAAATATCCATGCCAAGATGGTATTTCATGCAGTAGTCAATAGCATGACTGCAGAGAAGGGGAAATTCTCCCCTCACCAAGAGCTTCCTGTTATTTTGGATGCCTACCAGCAGGTTAAAATATTTGGAAAGAAGTTACGGGTCTGTTTACAGTTTCTAGCTTGTTCCTAGACCACTCAGCAATTCCAGCCCTCTTGCGCTTCCTCTCCTTAGATCTCAACTGGGGGTGATTTTAGGTCTCAGGAGACATGTGGCAATGTCTGGAAGCATTTTTGTTTGTCATGCCTGAGGGGTAGTGGTGTGCTACTGGCATCTAGTGGGTAGAAGCCAGGGATGCTGCTAAATATTCTTGTAATACACAGAACCCAGTTCCCAGAAGGAATGGTCTGGCTTGCCATGACAATAAAGCCAAGGCTCAGAAATCTGCCATAGTCTGGACCCCGAGGACCCGCTACACGGAGGACTTAGGGAGTAGTGTTGTGAGCAGACAGTGGCTGTTTTTTTTTCTTTTTAAATGTGGCTCCTACTTGTTTAAGCTACTGCCCTGAGTTACCTGCCAGAGTATGGAGGAAACAACTGTCATCATTATGTGCAAATTGTTGGAAATATTTCATTTAATATTCAGTCAGCCCTGTTGAATATGTGCTTGAGAGCAAGGTTCGTGACTACTTCTGTTACTACTGTGAGCGGTAAGTCTGACTCAGTGCCAGAGACATGGCAGGCTGTCAATATTAAGGATAAGTGGAGGAATTATGTCCATTTGACTTTTATTTGGGGGTCTAGAGGTACAACCCAGGGCCTTGTGCGTGCCAGGCAAGCACTCTGCCACTGAGCCATGTTGCCAGCCCAGTATCCATTTTACATATGAGGAAGATTAGACCTGAAGTCTACACAACTGCCCTAGGTACTAGCCTCTGGATTTGAACTGAACTTGACCTAAGCCCAGTACTAAAATCACTTCCCACTGAGTCATGTCCTCTGTAGCACCAAAGTGGAGTTTTCTGGTGCCTACATACACTACCACTTTCTAAGTCTTCTATCTAACAAGTCCTTAAAATCCAGACCAAGGTTCTTAATCTTGGCACTACAGCAGGAAGGAGGGAAAACAGTTAAAAAAAGAGTAAGAAATTGTCAGTGTGGAAGCCCTTTCTGGTTCTGATAATACGATCTATCCCTTATTCTTTACACAGCGATGTTGGTTTCCCAGATGTTTCTGTGTGTGCTGTCCCAGCAGAAGGGTTGTTTTCCTCCTTTTGTAGAGGAGGAAAGCAAGGCACGGAAGTGACACGAGAAGGTACAGTGGCACTAGATAGGTTGAAAATGGCACGTCGGGTAAGAAATGCTCCACACCCTAGACACTCGCGAGGAGTCGCAGAGAACAGAGCTGCCCTCGGAAGCAGACTCACAGGTTTTTCAAATCCTTCCATCGCAGAAGCAAAACCCCGGTAACGTCTTACACTTCTTTCCGGAGGAAGCAAAGCAAACCCAAAGAAACTACACCTCCCGCGGCCACTGCGGAATCCCGCAGAGCGCACGCGCACTGAGGCGATTCGCGCACTACGACTCCCGGCGCGCTCCGGGCGGGGGCGGGACCGCACGTCCCAGGGGAGAGGAAGGGGCGGGGCGGCAGGGGGCGGGCCGCGGTGCTGCGCCCGCCCCTCCCCCGTGCTCGCACCGAGAGGTAAACAAACCGCGCGCGGGCTGCCAGCAGCGCGGCGAGAGAGGTGAGGGCGGCGAGGGTGACAGGGGCGGCCGAGAGCGCGCGGAGCCGCGGCCGGGCTGGCCCGCCCGCCGGCCGCACAGGTCAGGGAACGGCGCGGGGCTCCGGCCGCCTGCGGCGCCTCCTGTCGGCCGGGGACGGGAGTGCAGAGAGGCCCGGTCGCCACCCGCGGTCCCCATGGAGCGGGTGCGGATGATCAACGTGCAGCGCCTGCTGGAGGCAGCCGAGTTTTTGGAGCGCCGGGAGCGAGGTAACGGCTGGGCGCCGCCGCCTCGGCCGCTGCTGGAGCCCGCGTGCGCCTGGTCCGCGCGCAGAGTGCGGAGCGGCTGGTGAGGGGGGGCGCGCCTGCTCCGGTGCAGGTGGGGTGGAAGTGGGGGTGCGCGAGAGGACAAGACGCACACGTGCGAGTCAGACACCTGTGTGCGCGCGTGAGCCGTGGTGCTGCGAGGGGGCGTGTGCGGGGCGCGTGTTTGTGTGCGAAGGTTGAGGGATGCGGGAGCGCGGGGAGGAGCTTGGGGCTTCGGGGCTATGGAACGGAGAGTCGGTCCCGGTCGGGGTTGGGGCGGAGTAGACGGGCAGTGGGCAAGAGCTGGGTAAGAGCGGGCGAAGCTAGGCTGCAGGGAGATGCGCTGGGGTTCGCTGTCGGGGCTTCGAGGTCTGGAGAGGCGAGGTCGCTTTGGAGACGAAGTCGGGAGATTCGGAGAACCTGAGGCAGGATGGGCAGGATCTCTGGGAGCTGTGGCGCCTGAGAGAAAATGATGGTTGAAATCTTGGGAATGCACAAAAAATGTGAGCCTCGGAGAGACAGTGTAGCGTGAAGAGCGTCCCAGAAAAAGAGAGTTGCAGGCAAGTGAAATAATCGAGGTGAATCATTGGTCTCAGAAATTAGAAGGCAAAAAGAATTAGTGGAGAAAAGGATTTTGGAGAAGAGAAATTATGTGGTGTAGAGGATGTATCAGTTCACCTTCCAGGCGTTGGCTTGGGTCTGTGGGTGTCCCAGGAATCATGGCCAAGGAAGCACTGGGCTTTAAGAGCAAGAAGAGGACAGACATTTTTTAAACCCGGATTATTGCTGTGAAAAACCTGTCGTTCCAAGCTCCAAGGACCTTGGATTGGGGCTCTGTGGATTTAGGATTTATCTTTCCTTTTGTGTCTTTTTCCTTTCTCCCTTTAGAGTGTGAACACGGCTATGCCTCGTCGTTTCCCTCCATGCCCAGCCCCCGGTTACAGCACTCAAAGCCCCCACGGAGGCTGAGCCGCGCACAGAAGCCCAGCAGTGGGAACAGCACCAGCACTGCCAACAGGTAGCGCCCTGGGGAGTTCGGGGAGGGGAATTGCGGGAGGGGCACCGATACCAGCTCTGGAGTGATACGACTTGGGTTTCTTCACTACCGTGCTTTGGACCTTTTAACATAAGAAAGTCTTGGAATCATAACCTGGCTGTGTGTGGAAAGGAAGGAATAGAATATGCGAAGACAATTGAAAAAGGTCTTTGTGGGATTAAGATAGGGAAGTCTCTGGCGGCGGACAGAGCATCCAGAGACTTGGCAGCAGTGTGTAGGCGTGTTGTCATGCGCTGAAAGTAATCTCAGACCAGTTTTTGTTTTGCTTTCCAAGTTTAAAGTGGTCCAAGAGGTAGTTTTTCAAAATTAGCAATAGCCCTGGCAGGATACGATTAAGGGCTTGGTTAAAAGAGTAAAAATGTTTAGAATAAGAAGTTGGTGGGTGTGGTCTTTTGGGGAAGACCATGGTGTGGAAGCTTTCTGTCTTGGTTAGTGGTAAAATTAGACTCCTATGGGAATTCTAAAGCAAAAACAAAAAGAAAGCTGCTAACTCTTCGAACAGACATTTCTTGTAGAATAAGTAGTCTACATGTGTGCAGATGGTTGACTTTCACGAAAACTTTTGGTAGTCTCTGGCTGTGTCTTCAGTGTTTTTGTTCTGGGCAGCCAGGAAAATCCCAAGGATTCATCTTACACAAAGTTTTCAGGGAAGATCAACAAATGCTGCCTTTTTCATTAATAAGAGGATGTGAAATGAGACCTTTATTTCTGGTTCCCTAAATCTTCTCCAGAAAGTGTAGAGCATGATTCATTGTGGGCTGGGTGGGAGGAACAGAGCAGACCCTGGGGAATAAAAGTTGCCCTGAGGATTTTGGGGAGCTTCAACCAAGTAGTTGAGGAGGGAGCAACAATAGGAGCTCTTGATGCAGAAAACTTGAGGCTCCCATAGAGAAAGAGCTCACGCGGTTAGATGTTCCCCTCTGCATTTCAGACATGACCAAGGTAAAACTAGGATTCACCCTTACCAGTTTGACCTGCCTTTAGAGCTGTGTGCTTTCCTTTTGGCTTTTTTTTTTTTTTTTGTCTTTTTCATTTTTATCGGTACCAGGGATCGAACTCATGACCGCCTGCTTGCAAGGCAGGTGCTTATGCCACTGAGCTAAATCCCCAGCCCCCTTGGCTTTTTTTCTTAAGACTAGTCTGTGCTTTTTAAATTTAATCTATTAAGTTATAAGAAGTCTTTTTTTGGGGCTGGGGATTTAGCTTAGTGGCATAAGCGCCTTTCTTGCTAGTGTGCAGTTGTGAGTTCAATCCGTGGTACCGATAAAAACGAAAAAGACAAAAAAAAGGTTTTTTTTTTTGTCTTTTTGAGACAGCATCTCATTATGCAGTTCAGGCTGGCTTTGAACTCACTTTGTAGCCCAGGTTTGCCTCGAACTTGCAGCGATCGTCCTATCTCAGCCTCCCAAGTGCTTGGGATACCTGACTAAAAACAGTCTTAAATTTAATACACTATATTAATGAGTCTGTGAGTCTAAAGGGTTTGTTGTGCTATGGTATGTTTGAGATGAAAATATGTAGTTTGATAGACAACAGTTAAAAATATATCAATTTAGTGGGGCATGATAGTGCATGCCTTGTAATTCTTGCCTGAGAAGGCTGAGACGGGATTGCTGAGAGTTGAAAGCCATGCTGAACTGCATAGCAAAACCTCGTCTCAAAAAGATAAAAACACAACACATAAATTTGCTTACCCTTACAGTTTCTCTGGTTAACCTGTCAGGAATTAAGGTGTACTCAGGACTTTTTAAATCCATAAATTAAAACAAGAAAAAAGTTTTTTAAACTGAGAGACTGGTAAGACTACTATATTGGAAACCAGACCTGGGTTTTTCATGCTACATATATTTCTTTCCTACTTTGTGGAAATCAGGTTTCATTACATTTCTTCTCCATCCCTTACTGTTTTCATCTATAAGGTGAGAGGATATATCAGAGGATTCCTTCTTCTGAAGTTCTTGACTCTGACTTACTGACGGTTTTAGAGTTCAGTTACTGTATTATTTAGTATATCTCCCTGTCATTGCAGATGTGATATTTTTACTCAAAACTCAAGGATTACAGGGCCTAAATTAGATGTGTATTTCTAGATTTGACTAATTATGTTATACATCATGAATAGGAGTCTTTGTCATGTTTTCTTACGTTTACACTTGCTCAGCTTGGGGTTTTGACTAAGTGATGTTTTCCTTGCCTGCTAGTCCTCTTGTTAGGATTTTACTGTATTGTGTGGAACTGTAGTATTTAATTATTGTGCTCTAACAGAGCATGTTAGAGCATTTGTAAGGCTATAAACATGTTTCGGTAATACTCAAAGGAAAATACAGACACATTGTTCCACCTAAGACTAAGGAAGATAACTTTTCACAGGAATTTCAAAAGCAAGCAAGAAAAAAAGAAATAGATTTTAGGATATATTATTTTAAGGTAGATGCATCCATGTATGCATTTTAGGTTGGAGCCTATAAAAGAGAACTAGTATGTTAAATTGAAGCACTAGAAATTACTACTTCTTTTTTATTTTTTTTTTGTTTTTATCTGTACCAGGGATTGAACTCACGACTGCCTGCTTGCAAGGCAGGCGCTTATGCCGCTGAGCTAAATCCCCAGCCCCGAAATTATTACTCCTTAGCCATTTATTTAAATTTTTTGATTAATAGACATAGGGGAGCTGAATGTAAGTTCTAATACTGGGAAATAGTCTATAAGTGGACACTGGGGCTACCTTAGCTTATTGTTGGAGCTAATAGAAGTTTTATTCTACTGAACTTGCAGAAATTCCCATTTGTTAATCATTTGAATCAAGGAAAAGAATGGAGATTATGAAAATCTGTGTCATTTTTTTCAGGTCAGAAAACCGCTTTTGCAGAAGTTACTCTTCTCACTGTATGTTATAAATTTGGCACCTTATAGGTCATCAAATGACCTTTGTTCTTCTGAGATTGTAGCATTTTAAAGATACAATGGTGGCTGACTTTTTTGGCCCAATATTCTTAGTTTACTTGGATATTTGGGATGCAAAATGTTTTGTAAAGTTATGCTGAGAATTAATTGATTCATAAATTCCTATTTCTCCTTTTCCCTAAATTGTGAAATCTTACTTTCACAGAAGTACATAGGAAAGAAAAATAATGTACTGTGGTATTACTAGGATGTACCTTGTAAATCCTAGTAATTTTATCTGACAATTGGGAGATGAGACCTATACTGCATAATTATGTTTTAAATACATACTTGATTTTACTGTAATCTTGTCACAGCTTTCCTGGTGCATTTCCTAACTCAGCCTCTCAGAGCTTCACTGCAGTAGCTGTCTGGCTAATTGAGCATCAGAGCTCAGGTTGTCTGCTTTTTGTTTTGCCCTATACCTGAAAAAGTCAAGATCTGTCATTTAAAAAATTTGCTTAATGATCTGTGGCTTTAGTGTAACATTCATTCCTCCCTAAAGTTCTCTTGAGCTCTGTCATCTGTTAACATTCTTACCTCCTAACCTCAGCCGTCGTCTCTTACCTGGACAAGTGCTGTAACCTCCTCTCTGGTAGCCTTGCCATTCTCGTAAATTACATTGGCTACCTTTCTTTTCACTGCCCTTAAATATCATGTTTCCTGCTACCTCAGGGTGTCTGCATATACTTTTCTCTGTCGGCAGTGATCATCCTCCCTTTTTGCCAGATGAGCTCTGTTTATTCATCTTTTCCTTCAGCACAGTTGGAACTTCCTTAGGAAGCCATTCCTCACCTGCAGTCGTGGAGCAGGTCTTTACCTACACTTTGCCTTCATAGTGCTTGTCAAATTTATAAAAAGATAGTTATCTGATATGTAAATCTGTTGTCCATTCATTGGACTAACTCCATGGGGCAAGGATTGGCTCTTATGTGACAGTGCTCTGTCCTCCATAGGTGTTTCTCAAATAATGGAAGGTCTTTCAACTCCAGGTAGACTGTCCTTGAATGGAACCTTGAGGGGTTTTGCTGATGCGGTGTTAGACTGGGAGGGGCAGTGGTGAAAAATGGGGGGCAAGCTGGCAGCCTCCCCAGTTACTTCGAATTCTAAGGGATGTTAATGACTATCCATTGGAAGGGGAAATAATATGTGGTATTGGGACAGAGGGCTCCAAATTGTTTGTTCCTTTAAACAAGTACAGTAGACTACAGAATCCCTCTCTCGCTTCCTCCCCCCCTTTTTCCTGGTTTGTCTGTCTGTATGTGTGTGTGTCTCTCTCTCTCTGCCCCCACAAACCTCCCCCCTTTTCTTTCTGTACTGAGGATTGAACCTAAGGGCACTCTACTACTGAGCTAAATGCCTAGCACTTTTAATTTTTTTTATTTTGAGACAAGATCTAAGTTGCCCAGGCTGGTCTCAGATTTGTGATCCTCCTACCTCCTGCCCCCGAAATGGCTGGGGTTACAGGTGTGTACCATTGTACCTGGCAACTACACTTAACGGTCATCACCATCATCTTCTGCTGAAAATTAAATGATAGCGAAAGAACCAGAAGTTTGTCAGTATTGACAGTATGAGGTGTGACTGAAGTGGATGGTGACTGTTTACATTTTTAAAAGTTCGGTCACAGTGAAGGATGCATTGCCATTTAGCTCCCTCAGAATACCCCCCCCCTTGGGCACACTGACTCCATCATTCTCACACTTCCTCAAACAGTTCCAGAAGTCTCTTTCCTGAGTGTGTGTGATATAGGAACAAAGGTACCATGAACACTGCTCCCCGGTGCCATCCAGCACAAAGGCAGAGTTGTAAAGACATTATGGGTGACCTTAGCCACCTCACTCAGCGGACCTGGTGCCAGGTGACTCCTGGTTCTTCCGCAAAGTCAAAATGACTGTGAGAGGTGAACTTTCTCAGTTGGTTCTGGACATCAAGGCAGCCAGCACAGCACACTAAAGACATGAAGGAGCACTTCTAGAATGGAATTAGGAGGAGCCCAGAACGATAGGGTATGTTCA